GCAATGTATGAGTATCGTAAGGAAAAATTAGCTTTGGGTTATTCTTGGGAATTGCAAGGTTTAACTGGCAGAGTTCATTAAAATGTTCTCCTTAAAGAGTTCCAAGTGAAAAGCGAATTCAAACCGGAATGAAAATTGCTCATCACTGCTCTTTTGTGTATACATCTCACTGTGGTTTCTGATGGAAAACAGTTTCTGAGCTTAAAGCTTTAATTTTGTAAGCAGTCGCAATTTTCTTTTCTTTGAATAAACAAACATGCACAACTTTAAGTTTTTCTAAAAAAAAATCTGCGACAAATGATCTAAATTAATTGTCCTGAAGAAATATGTATTTAAAGAGAAAAGATTAATCTAGGAAACTGACCATATTGAGTGGTTGTGTAGTTACCTGGCCAAGATAATGTTTTAAATTTAAACGTTACTCCAGAACATGTAACAGTGCTATTACCGTTGTCTCCAAAGGTCGAATAAGGGCCAGTTATTTTAGCTTCTACATAGTACTCGGTGTATCTCTCTAGAATAACGTTGTCAAACAAGACTTTAAAACCAAAATAGTTAAATTCCTCCTCCTGTAAAAGCTCTGAGGCAAATTGCCCTTTTTGAAGCGCCAAAATTGTACTCTTTCGATACAACGCTAACTTCAGTTCTACAGAGACAGTACTATCCTCACTACCAAATAAGCACACTCCGAGTAGCTTGATATCTCTGTCTACAGAAAATACGATATAATGGCATCTCGAGGAGCTATGTCTAACCTGCAGTACAGGCGGATTAGCGGGCTCTAACGCGATACACGTGCGCGCGCACGAAGCGCGAGGTGAGAAAAATTCGTAAAAACCCGCTAATCCGCTGCGATTGTATAACGAGTTAAATCTACAGCATCGGTGAAAGTAACCTTTAGAACCTGATCTTTTGGTTTTTGAAAATTCTTCTAGTGTTAATATTTTACTGTCTAAAACCACACTAGCGAAATCGTTTTCATCCATGATCGGAAAGCGTATTCCTTTAATGATTTCTTCTCCAAGAATTCTTCTTTTCGCTTCCC